ACATTTACAATAAATTTTAAGATTACTTGAATTAATTTTTTCTTTTGTTTTAACAATATATTTATCTAAAACTGTTGGTAAAATAGGCATTTTAAAATTCAAATAAAAATCAAAAGAAAATGTGTGAATAAATTTTTATAAAATCTAATCTATAAATTTATCTAATCTATAAAAAAATAAGAATTGATTGGTTAGGACATAACTGGGACATGTCCGAAATTAAAATTTTAGTGAGACATGTCCGTATGACAATCAATAAGCTAGGACATTATGGGACATGAACATTGGAACATGTCCCAAAATGTTTTATGTCCAAATCTATATGTCAGACTTTGTCTCACGTACATCACTGCCCTAGTGATTTTAAGTAAATACCTAATATAAATGTAATTTTTTATTTTAAAATAATTAGTTATAATTATTATAGAAAATTACTATGTATCACTGGTAATGATTATCATAATATCACATAATCTATATTTGTCACCTGTAATATCATTCATTACAAATTATTTCTCATATAAGTAATTTTCATAATGTTTATAATTCCAGTCAGAATTAAAATTCAGCCTAAATTATGAATACTGATGATTATCAAACTCCTAAAATATGTAATTCTTAATCTAATACAATTTAATTTAAAATTATTTTGATATCTTTCACAATTGATTAATAAATAATGTGAATTGATCCTTTTAATCATAAACTATCTTTTTCTTTCTAATTATCATTTTCAGTTGTGTATAATAATTCACTATACAGATTCTTTAGTTATTAACTTTGTAATAGTGATTTATCAAAGCATAAAAGATAACACCCTTATTCATAATCTCAAAATTTTTTCAAAAAATTTTTATGATCTTTATCTACTTAAATATAGTTAGTTAAAAAATTAATTGTATTAATATTCATTTTTCAAACAAGTGAAGTATATTGTTTAATAAAATTTTAAAATGATATTTTATGATACTGAGACATAGAATTTTAAATATAAAAATCGCTTATTAGAAGAATATTGATTTTTATGCTAAATAAAAATAAACTGAGTAGCAGTAAGATCATATCTGTTATACGAATTTTTCTGTCAGAGTGGAGTTCAGTACTAAACAAGTATGTGATATAACTAAATAGTTCAACTTATTATTATACTCAATATTATGATTTCTTTCATATTGATATATTATGTTTCTATAACTAAACTTTTTTAAAATATAATGAAATTTAATTTATATTATAAAAAATAATTTTATAAAGATTTATTTTATACATTGCATATGTTCTAGTTATTAGGACTTTTGCAAAAACTATATAATATATGAAATTTTTATTGATAAAATGATAAATCCTATATAAATTATTATATAAAAGAGTTCATAAATAAATATCGAGATTATATCACGTGTTATGATGTTGAATTGTTAGTTGGGCATCCTTAAAATGTACCTGAAGTATAGGCTTATCCTGTACCCCATGTATAAATAAAATTTTTTAAAGTAAATATCACGTGATAAAAACAGTTACGGAACAGAACAGGATAAATTTACCCTTGTTAGTTTAGGGCAGGCTGACATCATAACACGTGATATACTACCCCACATGGAACTTTTTGTATTACCTATAAAACTATATATGGGCGCTGCAGTAGAAAGGGGAGGAAACAACCAAAAAAAATTTTTAACTCAAAAAAATTTTTTTTGATAGTTTCCTCCCTTTCTATTGCAAAGCGCCTATATGATTTTTAAAATAAATAAAAACCATATTTCTTTCATTACGCAACTATAACTGAATAAAATATCCTATTTTGTTACGCCCAGCATGATTTAACGGAACCGAACAACAATAAATTTGTCCACTCGAACTCCACTTTTTACGCGTCTCATAAATTTACAAAAAAATTAAAAATGACTTCTTCAGTCGCAATCGGAAGAGAGCTCGAAGAAAAAAAATGTTAATATTTTTAAAGGCTAAAAATGTGCAAGTGGAAAGGACAGAGTGAGTATTTCACTGTATTAATTTGTTGAGTCAAGTCATTGTATATCCGAAATTACTCATTTTTTTATTTATAATTTTCACAGAGGCCGAGGGGATCAGGGGATAGATATGCGCGGGCGCATGAAGGACGAAAAATTTGCCGGGCAGTGCAAAGCCTGGAAGAAAAAGAAAATAGGTATTTAATGGAATTTAATGAAAATTAATTATATCTAAATAATTATCATTTAATAAATATCTAAATATCTCAGGGCCTACCGTGATCCGGGAGATGATAGGAGCGTTGGCGAGTGAGCCTATGGAGACGTTCGGCGTGGTGGTGGGGTTGACTAGGGACTCATTTACCAGTGGCGCGGTTAAAGCGGCCGAAAAAGCAGGGATACTCATAACCGATAGTGATCATCTATAGTCGCTGGTCGATTTAAAAGAAAGAGATATTTTTTAATTTTTGTATTTTTATTTATCATTTTGATGTATTATATAATTTCCAAAAATTTTCCTCTAATAAAATTTAATACAAATCTGCTTTATCTTTCGTAACATTCTTTATGATCGATGTGTTATGTGACTTTGATATTTCACGCTTGGTGGGTTGCTTTTCGAATATTTTATGCGCTACTTGTCACTAGTAAAAATGATTGTGATCAAGTTTGTTCAAAAAATATGTGATTTATTTTATTTCCGTTTAACACAATTGGGATTTGTAATTGTATACTTAATATCTGCTGGGATTCTGCTGCAAATTTATAGGTTTAATTACAAATTAAATAATAATTTGCGATCGAAGTTACTAATTGTTTTATTTAATTAAAACTATTATCCAGATATAGAAAGAATCAAATGCATATGAAAGAATACATTTTTCAACAAAAAGTTTTTTAAATCTAAAATAGATATGATCACATCAATTAATCATGGTCATTTAGATTCCATAAATTGCACGAACAAATTTCATATTCGTAAATTTAATAAATTGATATTTTTTAAATCAAATTGATGTTTTGGATTTCAAAGTCATAACGTATAAAAGCGTGAAACTCAATAAATAGCCATATTTAACATAAGTGAACTAAAGTGAACTTTATTCCATTTTATACAAATAGAGGAAGCATTGATAATATTACCCATCGTTAAAATCTATTCTTAAAATTTATTATAGAAAAAGATAATCAAGATTTATCATTTTTATATCCATGAAATTGAAATCTCTATACTATACACTATACGAATAAATGCCATACATATTTTTTTATTTTAAAAAAAAGTGCAGTATTTCATCCACGTAGACTGAGAGCAAAATGAAGGGTTGATTCCTTGTGAATATTATAATCAGAGAGGGTACGACCATATTCTAACTGTTTACCAGCGAAAATCAAACGTAGTTGATCAGGTAGTATACCTTCTTTATCTTGAGCTTTTGCTTTTACTTGATCAATTGTATCAGATGATTCAACCTCAAGGGTAATTGTTTTACCAGCGAGTGTCCTAACAAAAATCTGCATACCTCCGCGAAGTCGAAGGACAAGATGAAGGGTAGATTCTTTCTGAATGTTGTAATCGGAGAGGGTGCGACCATCCTCGAGTTGTTTACCAGCGAA